CCTGCCTCAGCCTCCAGAGATCCTGGGATTACAAGTGTGAACCACTGCACCCAACTAGTTCATCTTTTTTTTTTTTTTTTAAATATTTAGTTAGTTAGTTGTAGTTGGACACAATACCTTTATTTTATTTATTTATTTTTATGTGGTGCTGAGAATCAAACCCAGGGCCTCGAATGTGTTTGGCAAGCACTCTACCACTAAGCCACAACCCCAGCCTACTAGTTCATCTTATTCTTAAACAATAGTGAAAGATAAGTGGTTACTGCAGTGTATTAGTTAGCTTTCCATTACTATAACAAATATCTGAAATAAATAAATGTTGGGAAACAGATTTGGAATCCCAGCAGGTAAAAGAAGATGCAAGGTGCAATTTGGATAGTAGACACTTTTTGTTCAGAGGTGGCAGCAGCCCCTCACCCCCAGCCTCAGGTTCTAGCTTCATTTTGCCCCCTAAGCCTTTTCCATAGGCCTTTTTTTTTTATTATTCACACTGTCAATAGGGTTACATAAGTGGGTGCATGCTCACAAGCAAATGTTTATGACCTTGAGTACATATGCTGAATCTGGGTGTTCATGTCCTTGGCTATGCACTAAAATCATAGCCCTTTGGAATCTTTGGCAAGGAAGCCTAACTATAGCCATTTAAGGCCTGCCCTACAATAAACTTTAAAAGAAGAAAGATTTGCCGGGTTCAGTGATGCACACCTGTAGTCCCAGCAGCTCAAGAAACTGAGGCAAGAAGATTGCAAGTTTGAGGCCAGCCTGGGTAATTTAGCAAGACACTATCTCAAAATAAAAACAGCTGGGGATATAGCTCAGTGCACTGGGTTCAATCCCCAGAACCACCAAAAAATAAAAAAATAAAAATAAATGTCATCAGGGAATTATAAATTAACACAGAGATACATTGTCCACCTATTGGAATAACAAAACTCCAAATACTAATGATACTAAATGCTGGTGAAGCTATGGAAGAACAGGAACTCTCATTCGTTGCTGGTGGAAATGCAAAATGGTACAGCCACTTTGGAAGAAAGTTTGGCAGTTTCTTATAAAACTATGAATATTCTTACCATATAATCTGGCAATCACACTCCTTGATATTTACCCAAAGGAGTTGGAAACATGGTCACAAAAAAACCTGCATACAATTGTTTATAACAGCTTAATTCATAATTGCCAAAACTTGAAAGCAACCAAAATGTCCTTTAGAAAATGAATGGACAAATAAACTATGCTATCTCCAGATAATAAAATATTACTTAATGCTAAAAATAAACAAGATATTAAGACATGAAAAGGCATAGAGTGATCTTAAATGAGCATTACTAAGTGAAAGAAACCAATCTGAAAAGACTACATACTATATAATTCCAAACACAGTCATCCCTCAGTTTTAATAAGGGATTGCTTCCCGTACTCCCCGCCCACCCCCACCTCCTGCAATGGATACTAAAATATCTGGGTGTTCAAGTCCCTTATATAAAACAGTGTAGTATCTGTATATAATCTATACACATCCTGAATACTTTAAATCATGTCTATATTAATTACCTACTACAAGTAAATGCTATTGTATTGTTTAGGGATTGATAGCAAGAAAGAAGTCTGTATATGTTCAGTATACACAAACATTTTTTCCCCAATATTTTAAATCTGCAGTTGATTGAATCTGCAAATGTAGACTACAGGGAGATGGAAGACCAACTATGACATCCTATAAAAGTATGAAAACAATAAAAATATCAGTTATTCCAAGGGTTAGTGGAGAGGAGTAAACAGATGGAGTACAGAGGATTTTGAGGGCAGTGCAAATACTCTTTGTGAAAATAGTAGGTATATGTCATTATACATGTGTTTAAACCCAGGGAATGTACTAATGTACTAAACTACTGTAAGCTCTGGGATTTGGATGATAATAATGAATCAGTCTATATTCACCAGTTGTAACAAATATGCCATACTGGTACAGGATTTTTCTTGATAAACTTTTTTTTTTTTTTTCGTGGTGTTGGAGATCAAACCAAGGCCTTGCACCTGCTAGGCAAGCGCTCAAACACTGAGCTACATTCCCAGCCTTGGTGCAGGATGTTGATAATGGGGCAAGCTCTGCAGGTAAGGGGACAGGAGATACATGGGACTCTGTACTTTTAGAACAACAAAAATAAAGGACCTGTTCTGACATGCACTAATAGACATGAGAATTCAAACCACTGAAATATTGTCTTCTACCATCTGATTGGCAAAAAAAAAAAAAAACCCAGACAATTTGGTAACACTATTGGTGAAGCTGTGGAAAAACAGACACTTGCTTACTCCACTGATAAGATTGTAAATTTCTATAAGCCCATTAGAGAACTTTGGCAACATCTTTCAAAATTGCAAACTTACACTTTCAACACAATTTCCTTTAGAGGAAGTTATAGGATATGTTCCCCATGTGTGAAATAATGTGTTACAAGTGTATTCGTTGCAATTGTTTTTGTGATATCAAGATACTGAAAACAGATAAAATGTGTAACTTTAAATAAATTATAGCTCAAACAAAACTGCCTTGAGAATGAGAAAGCTATGTACTGATATGGAAAGATCTTCTAGATGAATTAATAGAAAAGCAAGATATAAAATTATGTTTATCTTTTTCTTTAAGTTTAAACAAGAAGAAAAATATATCCATATTCCTATGTGTTATTTATGTAAATAACATTATCTGGAAAGATACATAAGAAACTACTGATAGTAGTTACCTGTTTTAGAGCCGATGGGAACTGAACAGATGAGGAATATAAATAGAATATTTTTCTCTGTGTACTTAAAAAAAATTAAACCATCTGAATGTGTTACATATTCAGTAAATATTTAGACACATACCACACCAAAAAAAAATATAGCCAATATCCAAGCTGTGAATGTGTATGCCACTCCTAATGGGAAAACACACCAAATATCAGTTTGCTTTTGTTTGAATGTAGGAGTTATAATTTTAAATGATTTTTATACAGATACATACATGTGCACAAATATACATACATACATATATCTGGCTTCCAAGAAAGAGTATTCCCTGACATTCAGGAGTTGGACCAGCACTATCAGCTGCTGGGCCTTGTTGTTGGGGACTGAACTCAGGGCTCTGTGCAGACTAAGGAAGTTCTACTTATCCCAGCCTCTCAGCTAGGTCTTCATGTTTTCCTATTAAATATAAACTATTTCATAAAACATCAACAGCAGACAGGCCACCCTGGACTATAACAAACCAAGGCAAAGCAAGACACTCTGTAATCATGTCCAACCACAGACAAAACATGAACATTGTTCAAGCCACAAACCAACATCCTGCTCTCCTGTCTAATGAGTGTTTGATGCTTCTTTACCAATTAATCTCAATTTAGGTTGTCTTCCCTATGGGTAAGATTTATTGAGACACTCAATCAGATTTGTTGCTAATTAGGGGGCAGGGGGTGGTTACTGGGGATTGAACTTGGAGGCACTCCACTACTGAGCTACATCCCCAGCCCTATTTTGTATTTATTTAGAGACAGGGTCTCACTGAGTTGCTTAGCCTCATTTTGCTGAGGCTGGCTTTGAACTCGGGATTCTCCTGCTTCAGCCTCCTGAGCCACTGGAATTACAAGTATGCGTCACCATGCCCAGCTGTCCCTGCTTTTTGATATGTCACATCCAGAGTGATTTGTACCCTTTGTACCCTATCCCAAATCATCCAACCACCTTACTTAAGTCCTGCATAAGTCCTTTAGTAAGAAGAAGTTGTTCTTACTGAAAGGCCCCCAATTCCCCATACAGTGTATTCTCTGCTATTGCAGTTAGTAATAACCAAACTTGTTAGACTACAGGAATGTTCCTGGTGATCTTTGAAGATCATTGACAAGATATGCAACATATATATTAGATAATTTCCAGATTAACCTGGTGTTTAAACTTTATATTCTGCCACAAGAAAACCTGGATTCAAATCTGTTCTAGCCCAATCAGCTGAAGACCACCAGAGACAAGCTGGTAGGTGACAGTCATGTTAACTGACACCTTGCTATGAGGGAGAATCTACACTAGAAGAACCATAAAGCATCTCATTAGACAAAGAATTTGGTAAAAAGGTAGAATTCAGGTGTCATTGAGGTAAGTAGTGTTTTGATAAGTTCAAAGTGAAACAGCTATTTGTAGACAGGTTAACATAGATTTGGACAGTTAGTGGACTAAGGATCAAGTTTCCTTGGATACTACAAAGTTAAGATAGAGATGGGATGTTGTATCTGTAACTTATCTGAAACTGTGCACTTAGCCTGGAAATCAAGGCAACTTCCCAATTATCAAAGTGACTTAGAACCTCTAGGCAAACATAATCTGTTTCCCTTTAATTGACAGTACTTCAAACAACAAATTTTCTGTTAGTCTATGATTTTATAAAAGGAGGTTTCTCAGTAAGAAAGCAGTAGTCACTCAAAGAAGACTCATTAAGATACTCCATTGCTCCAGCATAACCTTGAGAGAAACATTAATTCTTGCCAACTTTGTAGCTGCCTTTATGGCTCTCTGTCCTCCCACCTTGAGGAATGACAGGCCAGACTTTGGCTTTCTCAGAACCCATCTATGCCTCTTACTATGTATTTCACACAAGTGGCTTGACCTCTTATTCCTCTATTACCTCAACCATATATTAGGGTTAATAATAACATCTATAATATAGTGTTGTTATAAGAATAATGAGATACTCTTTGTAAAGAGACTAACATGGTACCTGGACACAATATAGTGCATTCCCAATAAATGATTATCAAAACAGAAGTAGACTTCCTACCTCTATCAAATGAGTTGTTTCTCCTGATCTAGGATAGAAAAACAAAACCTATCCTGAGAGTCTATTAAGTTTCAACCTGTTGTATAAGACTCCATTGATGGGATCTTTGACCACTCAGCTCTCCAAAGCCGTTTAGACTATTTGGTAAAAGAAAACATAATCAAAGCTCACAGCAACAGAAAAGATGAATCTCCTTATGGAGTTAGTCCTGCTTCTGCCCTTACTGTTCATTTTCTATTTAGAATCTTTTGTCAAGCTTTTTATTCCTAAAAAAGGAAAATCAGTCACTGGAGAAATCGTCCTGATTACTGGAGCTGGACATGGAATTGGGAGGCTGACTGCCTATGAATTTGCCAAACTTAAAAGCAAACTGGTACTCTGGGATATCAATAAGTATGGCATAGAGGAAACGGCAGCTGAATGTAGAAAACTGGGTGCCCAGGCTCATTCCTTTGTAGTAGACTGCAGTAACCGATAAGATGTTTACAACTCTGCAAAGAAGGTGAAAACAGAAATTGGAGATATTAGTATTTTAGTAAATAATACTGGTATAGTCTACACATCAGATTTGTTTTCTACACAAGACCCTCAAATTGAAAAGACCTTTGCAGTCAATACACTTGCACATTTTTGGATTACAAAGGCATTTCTCCCATCGATGATGAAGAATAATCATGGTCACATTGTCACTGTGGCTTCAGCAGCTGGGCTAATTGGGGTTCCCTTCTTACTGGCTTATTGTTCAAGTAAATTTGCTGCTGTTGGATTTCATCGAGCTTTGACTGAAGAACTGAATGCCTTCAAAAAAAAAATGGAATAAAAACAACCTGTCTTTGTCCTAATTTCATAAACACTGGCTTCATCAAAAATCCAACCAGCAATTTGGAACCCACCCTGGAACCTGAGAAAGTGGTGGAGAAGCTAATGAATGGGATCCTGACTGAGAAAAGGATGGTTTTGGTTCCATCCTCTCTAAACTTTTTACTTATCTTGGAAAAGTTCTTACCTCAACGTTTCCGGGAAATTTTAAAAAGAGGAGCAAACATTAAGTTTGATGCAGTTATTGGATATAAAGTAAAAGAACAATAAGCACCTGATTTTCTTAAAAACTTAATTACCAGGTTTAAGTTGATTTCATCTAATAATAATAAAAACTTTAATATTTTAAATCATTTTCCCTTATTATCCTATTTTCCTCAATATCACCTTTTGGGGACATGCCATACTGGCTTTACCACTTGTTCTGTAGGTAAAAGCTAATTTCATGTAATACAGACATAGATCTCAAGAGTTGACCTTATGGAAAATGAGGAGAAAAGAACAAAAGCAATTTCATCACAATAATTTCTCAGATTTTGTGACTCATCTACAGGTTTTCAAATTTTATACTATAAATGTTTAAGATATCATATTTTAATTGCACTTACATTTTATATAACTGGCATATATCCTTTTCTATTCTGTATAAAATCATAAATTTCAAACTCCAGATATAATAAAGGGTTACATGTCTAGTAACATTTCACAGTGAATTTTGTGATCTTTCAAGTGTTTCATCCTACATGTTACCACTATTTCCTGAGAGATGCTTTACATTTTGAAGTCAAACATTTCAGCATGAAACTAGAGATGGATACATGTTACAAATTTAAAAGCATCACCGGGATTTAAGGCAGAGAATTGGGAGAATGTACTTATAAATGCAACAATAATAAATGGGCCAAATATAAAAAAAAAAAAAAGACTCCATTGATGGAGTACTATGCAGCTTCATGCTCCATGTTGGGAGAACAAAGATAAATAAGCAACAGTTATCACCCTCAGAAAGCTTACCACCTTCAGGAAGAGGTCTGCATTGGCCGGGTGTGGTACTGCATGCCTATAATCCTAGTGACTTGGGAGGCTGAAGCAGGAGGATTACAAGTTTGAAGCCAGCCTCAGCAACTTAGCAAGGCTCTCATAAACTCAATGAGACCCTACATCAAAATTTAAAAGCTGTGGCTCAGTGGTCAAGCACCCCTGGGTTTAATCCCTGGTTTAAAAAAATTCTGCACTGTTCACTTACAGGGGTACAGCCAGGAAGGAAATATTTTTATGCAAACTCAATTTCAGTTTTGTTGTTGTTGTTGAAGCCAAGAATGTAGTATGAAAGGTGAAGAGTTTAAGATCTACGATAATGATGGAATCAGGACTCTGATCAATAGTAGCTGAGCATACCCTAAAGGATTTATTGCTATTAGAAATCTCAAAGTGTACTATTGTACACTGTATTGTATTGATGTGTTGTTGAGAAAAAGAGACAGAACAGAGAAAGAAAAGCCAAGAGCATAGGCTGTTTCTTTGAGATGTGCCAGAGGACAGAGTATTTCTTGTCCTCTGAGGACTGATAAACATATATGACCTTGTCTAAAGTAGTATTTCTGAGCCATCTTGTCCCAGGTATTGTGTAAGATTTTTCATCTTGGAAAACAGACAGTTCACTTAAGAGGCTTTCTCTTTGTGTCATGAACTACATATAATTAAATATGAATGACTAGCAATCTAATGTTCGTTTCCTGCCAGAGATGGCTAGCTGCATTCAAAAATAGATACTAAGGTGTGTCATGATCATTTAGGTATAAGAAAATGGAAAAATTTATATTTCAGTCTTAAAATGTTCATATTCTTTGACTTCATGGAATTTTATCCAAAAGGGAGAATTCCAAAAATGTAAAGTTTTATGACAAAGCATTTATCAAAACAATATTTGAGGGATGAGGTTGTGGCTCAACAGCAGAGTGCTCGCCTATCATGTGCGAGGCACTGGGTTCGATCCTCAGCACCACATAAAAATAAATAAATAAATAAATAAAGGTATTGTGTCCAACTAAAACTAAAAAATAAATTTAAAAGGAAAACAGTATTTGAGGGCTTAGAATATAGCTCAGTGGTAGAGCAATTGCCTAGCATGTGCAAAGCCCTGGGTTCCATCTCCAGCATTAAACAAAAAAAAAAAAAATAAGAAAGAAATATTTGTAAAGATGGAAAAGCAACATGCAGTTGCAACAATAGAAGATCTATTAATTATGGTATTTCAACTGTAAGATCTATTATACAGCCATTTAAAAAATATTTCTGAATAACTTATAAGCCCCTAGAAACACTTACATAACATTGCTGTTAAAAATGCAAGATAATTAGAATAAATAAAACTTAAATTTTTTTAAAAATGCAAGAACTAGCCAGGCATAGTGGCACATGGCTCTAATCCCACCAGCTCAGGAGGCTGAGACATGAGGATCACATGTTTGAGGCCAGCATGGCAACTTAGTGAATCCCTGTCTCAAAATAAAAAGGGCTGGGGATATAGCTCAGCGGTAAAGCATCCCCCAGTACAGAAAAAATAAAGAAAAAAGAAAAAAAAAAAGACATTAGTTAGGGCTGGTGGCATATGCCTGTACTCCTAGCACTCAGGAGGCTGAGGTAGGAGATCCCTTGAGTCCAGAAGTTTGAGCCCAGCCAGGGTAACAGTGAAATTCTGGCCCACAACTAAGTAAATAAAAATTCAAGATATGAAATTAGATATATAATAAGATCACAAACACATATACACATTTAGATTTAGAAAAAATGATGGGAAGAAAATAGAAATTGCCTTTGGTTGTTGCCGCAGTCTGGCTGGGCACAAAATCACGAGCCACTCAAGCAGGAACAAACTTTATTTTTGAAAATGCCGCCAATACCCGGTACACCTCCGGGAAGAAGCYGGTCCACACACACGGCATGTTCTCCCAGAACCGGGCACAAGTTCCTCCCCCGGAATTCCCTCCTACTGTACTTCCCCAACCAATGGGAACTCTCCAGGAGTCCCGTAGCAGGCAGAGGTGAACAGCAGGAGTCCAATATCCATATGAATGCAAATCTTAACATAATCATATCATCTCAATGGCTAGCTGGCGTCACCTTACAACCAAAAGTGCCATGCATCATATTACTTGGCTGTGGCTCTTAGCAGGTTGTAGGATTTTGAGAAAGTTTGGAATTGTTTTTCCTGATTCTACATTTTCCATCTTTCCAACTTTTTGTAATAAGCATACTGTATATTTTCCTGTGGTGTCTTTTCATTTGTTATTATCCTATGAAACTCTTAGAACTCTGGACAAAGAAGATAGGGCTAAGGACAATAGCACCCYCATGAAGAACAGCTGTGTTACGGAGGGAGGAATGTTGTAAAACCAAAAGAAAGGGGGTATCCAAGTAGGAGGTCTATAAAGCTAACTATCTCCGCTAATGTTTATCACATGAGATTTTAATTTGCAAATGAGAATTTGTTAGAATTACTGGAAGTTCCTAATAACATCTGTGAAGCCAGCTTAGAAAATAACCCATTTAGACTGGGGAAGTATGAGGACAGAAAGCTGCATTAGGAGCATCTCCAGAGAAACATGGAGATCATGAATTGTCTGGTATATTGGCCTATTAAAGGCTATAATATGAAGCTATCAGAATAGATGAGAAGAACTAGCAATATAAGTAGACAATTTAGCAAATTAAAAATGAGGCAGTTATTAAATTTAAAAATACTGTATATTAGAAAGGAAATATATGTATAATACGTGACAGTGAAAAATGATACCTAGTAATGCTGAATTAGCTGAACATGRTTACATAACTATAATGAGAGAATGGCAAAATGGAAGAAGAGAGTGAATGAGGGATGCTAAATCTTTGACTACTATAATAACAAAATAATAATGACTGAAATAGATAAATTAAGAGATAACGTTTAGGAATGTGGACAAAAGGACCAAAACAACTAAAAGAGTTGAGAATGGCTGTTTGTGGAAAGCAGGATTAGGCAACATAGAAAGAGAAGACAGGATTAAGGATATTAAAAAAAAAAAAACAACTTTTAGAATTGTATGAATTGAGTTTTGAACCTCCCACAGTTATATCTTTGATTAAAAAAAAAAAAAAAACAGGGCTGGGAGATGTAGCTCAGTCGTAGAGAGTTTGCCTTGCATGTGCAAGGCTGTGGGATCAATCCCAGCACTGCATAAATAAATAAATAGCTACAAAACCACAATAATATACTGCCTGACACTTATTACAGTGTTTACTATAAAAAGAAATATATAAGGATATGGAGAAATTGAAACCCTTGTGTACTGTTAGTGGGATGTAAAATGGTGCAACCACTATGAAAAACAGTACAGCAGTTCCTCAAAAAAAATAAAAATAAAATTACCATATCATTCAGCAGTTCTACTTCTGGAGATATAGACAAAACAATTTAAAACAAGGTCTCAAAAATATATTTATACATCCATATTCATAGTAGCACTATTCATATTTGCCAAAAGGTAGAAACAAACAAATGGGTGAATGAATAAACAAAATGTGGAGAGAGAGAGAGAAAAAAAAAGAGAGAGGATGAGTGTCTCTATGTATGTATGTGTGTGTGTGTGTGTGTGTGTGTGTGTGTGTTTAATGTTATTCAGTCGTAGAAAAAGAAAAGGGGGACTGGGTATGTGGCTCAAGTGGTGGCAAGCTCGCCTGGCATGTGTGCAGCCCAGGTTTGGTCCTCAGTGCCACATACAAACAAAGATGTTGTGTCCGCCAAAAACTAAAAAATTAATATTAAAATTCTCTCTCTCTCTCTCTCTCTCTCTTTAAAAAGAAAAAAAAAGTAATAAGAACAAATTGAATAAAAGAAGACACAGATAATAAAGAATATAATAAATTTTTTAAAAAAAGAAAAGGGGGCTGTGGTTGTAGCTCAGTGGTAGGGCACTTGCCTAGCATGTGTGAGGCACTGGGATCAATCCTCAGCACCACATAAAAATAAACAACAACAACAACAAAAAGTAAAAAGGCTGGGGATGTAGCTCAGTAGTAGAGTACTTGTCTAGTATATGTTAAGGCCCTGGGTTCAATTCCAAATACCACAGGGAAAAATAAATTCTAACGTGCTGCAATATGAATGAAACTTAAGAATATTATGCTATGGAAATGGAAGGCGATCCTCAGGGTTATACAAAATGACATATAAGAGGAAAGGAGGGGTAAGACAAGATAATACAAATGGAAGAAATGATTTACAGTAGAAG